CAATGCTGTTTTGTCGATTCCAGTGTGCATAGCTTTATAAACTACATCGTTAAAATTATACCTACAGCTTTCCGATGCAATCTTTTCTTTCAAAGCTTAAAAATTACAATTTCTGAGCTGTATGCAAAACACCTTCGCTCGGCCATAACGCTGTTATTGTCGATTAATCAAACAGTGCAGTTATCTATTATATCCCCTTTTTTATATATACAAAATAGATAATACTATCACGGTAGCTTCTCTCAATGTACGGGGCCTTGGGAATAACGTTAAAAGAAGAGAAATTTTTAATTGGCTCAGATCTAAGAAATACTCGATTTACATGCTGCAAGAAGTACATTGTTCGCAAGAAAATTCACACCTATGCGCTGCTGAATGGGGGTACAAAAGTATTTTCAGCTCATTTTCCAGCAGCAAAGCTGGGGTAAGCATTCTTTTCAACAATAATTTCGATCTTCAAATTATGAAAACTTTCATTGATGACTCAGGGCGCCTTATCTTGTGTGACTTAAAAACAAATGGAAAAAGTATAACCTTAGCAAATATTTACGCGCCTAACGAAGAAGATCCAGCTTTTTTAAAGAATCTCCTTGATCACCTTGAAGATTTCGAAGGAGAGGAAATTATTATTGGAGGCGATTTCAATCTCGTCCTTGATGTAGAGAAAGATAAAAAAGGTGGCCTGCCCAGAACACATCACAATGCGCAAAAAACCATTTATGAGATATGCGATAACCTCGAGCTTGTTGATGCTTGGAGAATATTGAACCCCGAAGAAAGAAGGTATACATGGAACCAAACACAGCCTACTGTCCACTGTAGACTAGATTTCTTTTTAACAAGTCAGAGCTTTCTGGGTAGCATTACCTCCTCAAACATCCTACCGGGCTTTAAGACAGACCACTCAATGATCACATTAAATATATCTCTGCATTCAAACCCAAGAGGACCTGGTTTTTGGAAACTCAACACATCGCTTCTGGCCGATAAGGATTATATCTATTTGATAAGGTTAACCATCCAGGAAACAGAGAACGAATACGCAAATGATAAGTCAATAAACCCTGCGCTCCTTTGGGATATGATCAAACTTAAAATTCGAGAGAAATCTCTTAGCTTCGCTACTGCCAAAAAGCGTAAAACTTCACATAAACAGCATGAGCTAGAAGAAAAAATCGCCTTACTAGAAAAAGAACTTGAAGAGCCTTCTGTCAGCGAAACGCAAAAAACAAATAAAACAGAACAACTTGAGCTATCCAAACGTGAATTAGAAGAGATAATTAAAGTACGTACCCAAGGGGCAATCTTGAGATGTAAAATTAAATGGTACAATGAAGGCGAAAAAAACACTAAATATTTTCTAAACCTTGAAAAAGGACATTTCAAACTGAGTACAATAAGCCAGCTTAAAATCACCGATCAAAAATTTATCACATCTGATAAGGAAATCCTTGCTGAATGCGAGACTTTTTACAAAGAGCTCTACACATCCCAGGAAAATGTGATACCAACAGACAGCGATTTTTTTCAACCTGAAAACGAAACGTCTCTGGACGACAACGAGGCAACGAGTTGCGAAGGATATTTAACCGAACAAGAGTGTCTTAAAGCTTTAAGAAGCATGGATCGAGACAAAACCCCTGGAACTGATGGACTCCCTGCTGAGTTCTACAAAATTTTTTGGAAAGACTTATCTCCTCTTTTAATAAGTGCACTCAACTATTCATATGATAAAGGAGCCATTTCTATCACACAGAGACGCGGAATCATTAAACTCATACCAAAAAAAGACGCAGAACAGCACTTCATTAAAAACTGGCGGCCCCTTACTCTCCTCAACTGCGACTACAAAATAGCTGCGAAAGCTATCGCAAACCGAATAAAATCTGTTATCCCAAAACTTATCAATAACGACCAGACTGGTTTCCTAAAAGGAAGATTTATTGGAGAAAACATTAGATTGATAGATAACATTATAAATTACGCTTCTCAACAAAATATCCCTGGGCTATTGCTCTTTGGAAATAAGGAAAAACTTCTTCCCGAGAAGAATTTTAAATGGCCAGAAAACAAAGTTAAGGTCCTTGGCGTTTGGCTTTCTACCTATCCTGATATCACATTAAGCTTAAACTATAGGGAAAAAGCGGACAAAATTAAAAACATATTAAGCAATTGGAAATATAGGCGGCTAACGTTACTCGGCAAAATCCAAGTTATTAAAAGCTTAGCGGCATCCCAACTTACGTATATTTTAGCTCCGCTGCCGATAAATCATAAAATTATCAAAGAAATAAACGATCTTTTCTTCAGCTTTCTTTGGAACAATAAGTGTGATAAGATTAAGCGAAGTGTCATGACAAACGACTATAACAATGGAGGGTTAAAAATGATTGAGATCGCTTCATTTACCAAATCGCTCAAGACTGTTTGGATCAAAAAATACCTCGACGACTCTAACTGCGGAAAATGAAAATACTTTTTTGAAGTAGAACTTGAGAAGTACGGCGGCAAACTAGTCTTCACATGTAATTTACACAAACGTGACATTTCAAAGTCGATATCAGTCCAAGACCCATTTCTACAAGAAATTTTAGAAATATGGTCAGAAATTAATTTTGATGCTAACATCAAAACCGAGCAGCAATTCCTTGAACAACATATATGGCATAATTCGCTGATTAGGATCGAAAACAGACCGGTCTTCTACAAACATCTTTTCCTGCATGGAATCACTAAGGTAGCCCACTTAATGACAGACTCATGGAATTTTCTCCCCTAGCAGATTTTATCAGCACTTACAAAATACAAATACAACCCATAAAGTACTTGGCTTAATTTCTGCCCTTCGACACCATTATAACACTAACTTTCTTAGTAAAGAACCTAGTAGCACAGACATTCCCAATACCTGCCCCGAGACCTTCTCCGAGACTTTTTTCAAGAACGATAAAGTGAACAGAGTTGTATACCAGAAGCTCCTCTCTTCCAAAAGCACTGTACCGTTTAAGAGCCAAGAGAAATGGAATGACAGCATTAAATCCGACCAAAGATGCTCTGCTGACTGGACCAGCGCCTATTGTCTGGCAGCTAGGTGCACAAAAAGCACAAAACTTGTAAACTTTCAATTTAGATTCCTTCACTGAATTTTTCCAACGAACCTTTTCCTAACAAAAATCGATATAAAGCAGGACCCGAACTGCTCTTTCTGTACCATCCATCCCGAAAACCTAATGCACCTCTTCTGGAACTGCACAATAGTAGCCACCTTTTAGGAAAATTTGACTGAAAAACTAAGGCAGATCAATCTAATAACGATAGATTATCCAAAATACACTGCTGTATATCTGGGCCTGAAACCAGACACCTCCAAGTTTTCACTTCAACTAAATTTCTGCTTTCTCCTGGCAAGATATTATATATGGAGCGCAGGGTCAACCAGAAAATTCCGAATTTAACAACTTTTCTTATGTCCCTTAAATCGCAGTTTTACACAGAGTCCAACAACATTGATGCAACTTCTAAGAAATGGAATCCTTTACGTCCACTTCTCAACATTACATAGCTTTTGGTAAAATAAAAGCTTTCCTATGTATCCATTTTCTGTAAATGAACCAAGGCCAAAGTGCAATTGAGAGCTAGACATACCGCCAATATTTCTTAATTAAAGTATCTATTTCACATATCTTTCCGCACTGTTTACTTATTAATCATCTAATTATGCATATTTATGATTTCTTATTAATATTAGCAATTGTTGTCAATGTTATCTCAAGTAGTTATTGCTAAAAACCGTTTTAGGCAGAGGAGTCGCCTTTTTTCTTTCTTTCTTCTCTTCTCTTTTCTTTTCATTTATTTATTGTCTTTAGTAGTCCTTTTGTCTGTTGTAAACTAGTTTTAGGTATTTTAATGTAAGTAAGTAGCAAACAAGTAAGTAGTAAAGCTGTAACGTAAGTAAATTTTGTAGTCTTGTTGTAAGTAAGTACCGTGTAGCTGTATTGTAAGTGAATGCCAAGTGTGATTATAACAAAATTAAATTAAAAAAAAAAAAAAAAAAAAACAAGACAATAAGGTGAGTTTCAGTAAAAATTTTCTTTAACTGGATAATTTATTTTTCATATCCGCTTTCTTTAAGGTATCAGCTTGTATGCATTCACAATACATTGACATTAACCCTTCAAGTCCAAAATCCATTCCCAGTCTGTAATGAAGTACCAAATTTGGTAACTGGTTTGTCTCAATTGGGTCTCCCACCCCCGGACTTTTTGCTGCTGTTAACTGCTTCATAAATTTTGGTAACTGAAACTAATAATATTTTGACAAATGAAAATTAATGATATGTGTGGAGAGAAGAGCACAGGGAAAAAATCTGACTTAATTATTATTAAGAATTTTTATAGGCTATATAAAAACAAAGTCAAGGAGACAGTTGCGTGGAATGATGAGGTTTTAAGATGGTGCCTTAATGCGGCCAAAGATAGTGGGATGAAATTTTATGATTTAAGCGATGTTACTGACTATAAAATAGTACAAGGAATATCAGGTAGTGTTCCGGCCAATATTAACTTCCGGAGTTTTGGTCAATCAATCTAAATATTCTCAAAATTTTCTCTCTGTTATAATATCCGATTTGGATGTTATTCTTTTGAGCAATATCATTGATAACATTTATATGATATTTTCTGTGATATAGAGACCCCTTTCTTATCTTATGTCTATTTTCATAAAAATCCACATACTCGTCTGCTGTTAAATAATCATGCACTTGGCCACAGTTAATACACACGAGATAACCATCCTTAACCAATTTCATATTACTACAGCAGAAATATCTCCCAGGCTTACCTGGATCTTGAATCTGCTTACAACAAAGATGCAATTAATAGCATTCTCTTCCTGGATCAATATTTGGTGAATTTCTTCAGTACACATTACTATATATTATATGGAGATTTTTATTCTTATATGTTTTTATGCCCATCTGCATAACTCGCAATTCCATCCTAGAGTATATACCGTTTATCATCAAAGCAGCTAAGCGATATTTTATTTACCTGGTAGCTACTAAGTCTATGATGATCACCCCGGATTGTATTCATTTTATGTAATATCTCTTTGTTATTAAATAATACATCTTCGTAGCATCTATGTGATATATTTTTCTTTATGACATCTTTCTTAACCCCCTTACATGTTTTATTATTCTTCCCGTTATCCATCAAATAACTGTACATCTTACTCCGGAGGCCAATAAAACTACCCATTGGTAATCCGCCACATTCGTCTTTGAATTTACATGGTACTTTCTTATTACTAGCATTATAAAAAGGACTATTTTTAGCATAATCACTAAAATCATTTAAGTCTCTCTGGGACCAGATGTCTTGGTAGGCATCTTCCGTAGCAATTTCATAGCATAAACTATCTGTATCTGTAAATAGTAATCTAGCCTTGTTACCATACATTTTCTTGATTGTGTTATAAGCCTTGTTACCATACATTTTCTTGATTGTGATATAATGAAAATCATACATCGGTGTTTTACTTAAGTCCAAAATACACATACCTACATATGCAGGCCAGTCTAGGGTCAAACATTCCTTTATTTCATGTACTGCGACCAGATTCTCATTAAAGGCCTTACTACCAGAAAATGATGGTTTTGATACGATCTTTAAATACTGGTTATGATCTGTGACTAATCGTACATCCACTCTCTTTCTAAGATTCTTGATTGTTTTGCTAGAGACTGAGTTAATCATGAGTTTAAAAAAGTCCTTCTCAAAGGCATTCTTAGCTTGCATCCGTTTATTAGTATTATATTCAATGTACTGCTTTAGCCATGGACTTTGGTTAAATTCCAAGACCCTATGTACTTTCTTGAGTGTCAGGCCTAGTTCCAAATATAGTTGTAAATTCCTATAATGGAGTACATATTTTGTTTTATTTAATAGCGTAGGAACTAGTTTTGATACTTGTCCTATACTAATACCAAATTTCTCCTGTATCTGTTTACAATATGGAGATAACATGTCTTTTGTAATGTTCATCTTTTCTGGTGCACAGGGATAATCATTATGTAAATTACAAAGCTCTGTAGGATATTCCAAATCTACTTCTAATATATATCCTTTTTTATTATCCTCTGGTATATTATCTTTTTTTACTAATTTTTCGATTTGTTTTTCTGTCAGCCATCTAAAACCACCGTAGGGCAAATATTGCATCATAGCCCACCCATAGAGGTTATTAGCATGCAGGTACATTAAATATTTGCTGGTTTTTTCAGCTTAATAATTAGACATATGCTTGTTATTAGCTTCACCATATCGATGTGCAATATAACTTGTTCCTCCATGCATGCCTTTTTTGATAAACTGATATTGGTCAATATCATTTATCAATTCTAGTTTAATGCCCGTCATCTTGAGCACAACATCCCAACTAAGGCTTGGTGTCGTAAAATAATGTACTGGATCAAGTTCAATGTTTTCTAAACATGTCTTTCTAAAATTCTCAAATACGTCTGCTAATAGTAAAACACCTGATTTCAAATACAAGTCATGATATTGACCCATATTCTGTAGTCTAAATGTAGACCATACTTTTTGGGCATGTTGGTATTGCTCATCTGTGATCCCGGTATTAGTAAGCATACTATAAAAATCTTTTTTAGTTGGTAGTTTTGGATCATTAAATTTCTCAAAAATGTCCATGTAATCGTATGGATATACTCCTTTTTGACGCATTAATGCTAATTTATTATCTTTGAAAACTTGCTATGTATATTTAAAAGCTTCCTCTGGTATGTTTTTTGTTAAATTGTCAAGGCTTGTAGCCTAAATTGCATACTATCAATAAACACAATACGTTTCCCCAGCATGAAAGTCATATTTTTCCATATTATTTGGTATGCAATTAATATCCAACTGCTTTTCCTTACTGATTTTTCCAATTTCTTGCATAATAAAATGACTATCATAACCCCTTAAATCATGAAAAATCACTGGTGATTTATATGTTTTTAAATCAACCCTCAATTTGAGATTGCAGTCCTGGTGTGGTGAGCCCCTATATTTACCACTTATTTGACAATGGTCCCGGACTCTTATATCATTTGCTTGATATTGTGTTTTACAAATATGTCATACTTCAGCAGTTTTAAACATCTGCTCCTCATCTGGGCTCATTCTCAATGGCTTATTAAACTTACTTTATATAATATCCTTACAATATTCCTCTTCTTTAAAGATTTCATACATAAACTTTTCTACCGAATCTTCTACCCTATACACTTGCACTGGTCTTGAATACTTAACATTATAACTTTATAACCATAACCGCAACCAGTATGCTTTTGATATTTGTCAGTATACGATTGTTGGTTATTTCTATTACAACCTTGGATTTTCTCTGTTATAGCCTTAAAATCTGCATAAATCACAAATGGTACTTGCATTTGTCTATGGTAATTTTTAAACAATACCTTACTTCCAGGTTCTGGCATTCTAACAGCTTGTAAGCCATTGATCTCTAGACATAAAGTTTTATGTTTTTCCAGTATATATTCACTGCTAAAACATTGTAAACAGCTCATACATAAATGTTTTGTTGTTTTTTTTTTTTATTTTTAGTCCTATTATACATCATTCTATTAAAATCTTGAATATAAACATAGTGGTTAGTCTTGTCACTGGCAATCAATAATAAATTCATCTCATCTTCATACTTAGCATTCTTTGATTTGTAAATAGGGTAAAATTGTTTGTTTTCATATCCAAACACATTAACTTTAATCTTGTTCTCTACTTCGATCTTATTATAATGTTAAGCCTTGACTGGGAATTCAATTCCCTCATTATTTAACTGTTCTGCTAACTCTTTATTAGTCCTCTTAATACACTGAGGATTGATTTCTTGTGGGTTTAAATGCTGGACATGACACCATAAAAAACATTTATCATCCTCATTATCAATACTAGAAATACGTGTATCGCAGAACCTCGCGAAGCTCGGGGGGGAGCCCATAAGGGGGTGGGAGGACAGGAGAGAAATGAAGTAAATCATGTAACTGGGGAGGGTGGATCTAATATTGGAAGCTGAGATGTACTTAATCTCCTGTGGATTAAATTTGAACCTACTGCTCTAGCTTTAAAAAGGATCTTCTGAGATTTAAAGGGGGTTGCTGTTGTTAGCGAATGCTGCATAGGTCCCATCCCCCCATGTTCACTCCATTTGACCTTCCTACATGTGTGTAATTATGGTCAAAAGCAAATGGGGGTGATAGTGGATAACTTCCGGCTAATATTCAGTTGCATTTGCTTAATAAAACCTCACCCTTAAGTGCAATAATTATTTGTGAAATGTGTCAGTAGAAGTGAGTGGATGGCAATTCTAGGAGATAATGCTGCAGTGAAAACAACAAATAAGTGCTGCTAATTGGAGAAAAAAATTTATTGTTCGGCAAACTACAGCTATAAAAGTGTTTGCACTTTTTTTGGTACATGATCACACTTGACAACTATTGTTTGTAACAGTAAAGTGCAAACATAATCACTGAAATAGAAAATTACAAGTAGCAATGTCATTAAGGATGCAGTTCTCGAGAATTACTAAAGTGATCATGATTTATGATTATTGTATGCGTGGGCATTCACCTTAAAGAACTGAATCCATGTAAAAAGTAGCAATTTTTAACCAGTTAGGCAAGTGTTCATAGTTATTCGTGTACATGCATAAGAAACAAATCCCTATGCAAGAGTGAATTTGTATGAAATGTCCACAAACAAGTTATGTTGAAGGTGATCAGTTTCTCCATTGGTCTCAATTCTAAACATGCATGAGCTTGTTGAGAAAATGCCAGAGCCATAGATTTTTAATTTCCCAGACTGAGACGAGGCAAATGAACACTTTCCCTGTATTACATGCATTTATCCTGAATGTAAAGCTAAGTGCAGGATGGTTGATCTTATGGGAAACCCTACATAAATATCTGCTTGCATGCCTTTTAATTTCTTGAAACAATCTTCATCTGCCAATGGAACAAATGTTTCATTTCTGTGAATGTCACCTCTGTCTGACTTCTTTGAAAGAGTGAAATTTTATGAGTGACCTGCTAAATTTTCCCTAACAGCGAAAGGAATTAACGTTCCTGGCATGGCAACCATGTCACACACTAATATTCTGAGGATATCCGAAATACTGATGTTATTTTCGAATAATATAAGAACAAAAATATAGGGGGCCAGCGATAACAAATTTTTGCCATGTTTGACTTAAAAGATACCGCTGGGTTTATGTATAAGGCTGCTATACATAAATTTATTTTACTTGTGAAGGAAATTGAATGAAAATTGTAAGCTTAAACGAAAAATTTTGCCCAGTAAGGATTTTGTTTACACTGTTTACAAAATGTAATGCTTCCCTACATGTCGCACATTATCGGTGTTGTAAACTGTTCATTGTAAAATAAAGCTTACTGTAAAACGGTGAAAAGGCTGATCGGCTGTCCTCAGTCCTTTGCAAAGATACTCCTCGTGTCGATTTTACAGATGGTGTAATTCCTGCTTCCTATCGTTGCATCGCAGAAGATAATTTTGACTGTAAACTTGCCTCTCCTTGCGAATTCTATTGACTGAATACTGAAACGTTGACAGTCGGTGTTCCCTCTCTTCGTCTGCTTCTTTTGCAGTGTAACTGTAGTATTTTGTTGCTAACTCTTTACATATTCGTGGTCGCTGTATAACCTCTGTCTCTAGTTGACAGTGTTTGCCTTCGCTGTGCCGTTACTCACGCTGAATTTGAAGTCGACATCCTTGCTCTTGCGGGGTTTTGTTTGTAAATCTTTCCCAGCGAGGATTTCCAGCCATTTGTTGAATCCACCGTTGCTGAGTTTGCTGTTCTGTTTTATTTACCTGAGATATTGGGTGGTGACTCACCAACCAATAATTCACAGATGAAAAAACCCGTCTTCATGAATGAAACCCAGAGCTTTGTCCTCGATGGCAATCGGTTGCCTCGAAACCCATAATGCGCTTTGATGTCACTACCCTGGATGACGTCAAGGCGGACACCAACCAAACTCGATAGATTTATAGCCAAAAGGAAATCACGCTGGCCTTGCGATGCTTGCGTGATACATGCGCGCTTCGCGCGCGACGAGATTATAAACCTCGCGGCTTGGCACTCCGCACCTCACTTCGCGAGGAATTAATAAGACCCTTACTATGATGTTGTAATTCTTTTGGTAGTGGTATATATGATTTACCCTCAAGAGGGTTACATTTAGAAACATTCAAGTAATGACCTTCGATATAATCAATCATCCAGCCACTACCCTGGGAATCCCATCGTTGAATAAAATCTAAGATATATTTCCTAGCTTTTATTTAAAGCTGGTAGGATATCATTTTCATTCATAACCAATTCAGGTTTACCCCAAAACATAATTTTGCCGGAAGGCTCAAGTTCTCCATCTTTAAACTTTTTAAAATGAACTGATAGCCATTCACTAAATTTGATACATTTCTTCTCTTTCAATAACAACCCAAGCATCTGACCAATACCATGTGTTGTTTTTTGCATCTGCCGTATTGGCTCTCTGGTAAAAAACCAGACTAATATTAAAAGATTGATGATGCTTCTTTAGTGCACTTTTTGAGTTAATTGAGCAACTCTTTGTCGTCTTGGTGGTGGGATTGGTGGTGGTTTACTCATATTCTCTTCGAAATACTGTACTAATTCCCTAACACTTTTCTTTGGTTCAACAACATTACTTCTAATTTCTCTTCTTTCATCCCGCATACGAAGCAAATTTGGGATTTCCCGATCTGGTACTCTAGCAAGCATATTGGCAAGAGCATTATAATCAACCATATCAGTATCTACATTATTACTATATATGATTTTTTTACTAATGCATTTATCCGAACTCATTAAATATAAATAAGAAGCGACATCTCTTTAAGCTTCTTTTAGAAACCACCCTAAACCGGTTCAAACTGGATTGCCAAGGTCAAGTTCAAAATAAAAAACATAGTTAAACCCAAAACTGTGCCTATACCCTCCTATACCAAAAAGTGAATATATAAGCTAATACCATGAGCTTAATATATAACTGTGTTTATAGCCTCCTACATCAAAAAAGTGAATATATAAGGTAACACAAAAAATATGGTTTATACTGCACAAAACTGGGTCAAAGTACAAAACATATAGTTAAACCCAAATTCTCAAGGCCACACTAAAATTTCGAAAAAAGTGCGCACATCAAGCTCAGTATTAGCGTGGGGAAGGTGTGTCTATGGCAGAGTTTATTTCTTTCATAGCAACCGGGTCGCTGAGAAAATTTATAATGGCACTTGAACCCCTCAGATGATAATTGACTATCCTATCCCGAGTCAAACTTTCATTGCAGGAGAGTTTGTCCGCATCTGGTACCCTTCCCAACCAAAGACGTGCCACAAATGTTGAGCAGAAGGACACAATGCAGCCACTTGTTCTTCTCAGAGTTGTCTCAACTGTGAACAACTGGGTCACTGCTCTGATGACGGCCCATTGCCACCTTTGTGTCGAGTCTGTTTTGCAGACTTGCATCCTACTTCGCAGTGTCCGTTTACTTATTATAGTTCTAATATTCTTTCTGTTAAGGTTATCACTGCAAGCTACGCAAAGGCTGCCAAGAAAGGCAAAGCGGTGGTGGAAGGGAAGCAACAACAAGCCCAGAAAGAGAAACTCTCCAAGCGTGCAG